GGTCTTGATTTGGCATCTACTTTGTTACAAGAATCTGTTTATCCTAGGTAAATAATATTAAAAACAGATAATATAATATTTTTTTATTTTATTAAAAAGATTTTTTGTTTTAAGATAATTTTTTGTTTTAAGATTTAGCACATGTAAAAGTCGGGTTCAATATGATTCTGATTCAGACTCAGAGGAGGGTATATTTCATTCTGCAGCTGATAAAAGTTACAGGCAACATCAAAATAAAGTATCAAAGAATGGTCAGAGCAATTTAGCACTATTTTTGAATATAGATCAAGGTCTTCTCTGCATGTATACTCCTGCTCGTGATTCTGTAAAAAACGTTATACCCGGACAACAAGGCGAATTAATAATTAGATTAGATGATGCAACTATATTTTCGGTAACCGCATACAAAGGAAATTCAAATTTGAGTTATGTCTGCGCTATGATAAAAGAAATGTCTTTGGATCATTGTGGATTAATGACGACACCTTCACAACCACCTTCATTGAGACCTATTAATAGTGACATTCCCAAACATTGTCAGCATTCTATATATAAAAGTGATCTAAATGTAATGGGAGCAAACAATAATGATGATATGGTATTACTCGCTATTAGAATACAAGCTGCTCATCAAACGCACCGTATTAAAGTTTGTTTTTTAAAAATTTCAAATAAAAATATTATGCTATCATTTAATTAAATAATTGTAAATTATTTTGAAATAGACTTTCAGAGTGGCAGTGGGCATATCAAATGCTACATTGAGGCATAGAATGTTTAACACTGGTACATCATGGTTTACGCAATTAACAGATTGTTTGGATGTAGCCGATCATCCAGTTGCTGGATATTCTGCGCCAGGAATATTAACGGAATTACATTTACATCTTTGGGATTGTGCAGTTGATTATAGGTTCTTATTTTTTTAAATGTTACTTATGAAACACAATAATATAATAAAAAATTTGTATTATTTCAGACCAATTCATTTACCATTGAGATCGATGGTAACTCTTGGTAATTTTAGTGTTTCCAGTAATATTGCAGCACATACAAATACTTCGACATTACGTTTTATAGCAGAAGATATTGCCTTGTTCATATCTAATAAATTAGGAAAAAATGTAGATTTAAAACGGGATTTTGTATGTGTAATGGATGTAGGATTGTTCGAATTATCATTAAGATTGAACGATAAGATGTGCGGCGGTGCACCTAGAGTTGATTTAAGGGCAAGCAACAATGTATTGCATGTTCGAACATGTTCCGATTCTGGACGTGCTCTTATTCAATTGTTAACATACTTTGCTAATGATGGAGATCTTTCGTCAAGCATAGAAACTACCGGAAACATTACGGTACCAAGTTCTGGCGATGAAGAAAGTCTTCTTGGTGATGAGTGTGTTAATACTTTGAGTAAAAGTCAAGTTGAACGTGTTAATAATTTAATGAAAGAAGCAATGGAAGAAACAGTAAAAGGTAATATTAAATAATATAAGAGATTTAAAATATCCAAATAAATGTCAATTATGAATAATTGATACAATTACATGACACAGGAACGTCTTCAAATATAGACGGCAATACATTAGTAACTGAAAATCAAGTAGAAGTTTTTTTCTTTCCCGACGAATCTCGTCCTGCTTCACAGGCAGTACCTGAAATGTATAAAAATCCTGAGCAGTGTACAAAAACAGAATGTGATACAGAAGCTGAGGATTCAAACGAAGATTTTTGTATATTAGGAGAAGAAGCGGGTACAGGAATTATGCCTAGGCATGGTGTACCAGAAATTCGTTGGCTTTGTCAAGAATCATTAAGGATAATAGATAATCATTTCTCAGTTCCACTTGGCAAAACTGATTTACTTAAAGCACCAAGACATTTTCCTGCTCCAATTTTAAGGTACACTCTTTGTGAAATGACTTTGATCTGGCATATGTATGGAGGAAAAGATTTTGAAGCATCAATAACATCCAAAAAACAAGTCATTATTAATGACAATACAATTCATCCCATCATCGCACCTCAGGATAAGTACGTTTTATTGTATGTAAGTCAAACATTTTATATGAATAATTTATATGAAATTACATTATATATTATTTATGTTTACAGAACCAGATCACCATGGTGGGATGGTGTAACTTTCAATAAATCCAATTCAAATGAAATACATTTTGGAAGTGCACCGAATTCACCACGTGAAAAATGTAAAGAAATAACAGATTGGCAAGTAATGGGAGGTCCTGGTCGTCGCCATGATATCTTAATGGAGCTTCAATTAAATAAAGTGCGCTTTCAACACGAAGTCTATCCAGAAAATACAACAGAAGCAGCAAGACAAATATTATTAGTAAACGAAATAGAAATTAGAGACAGATTAGCATCTTCGCACATTAACAAATTCTTGTATCAATATAGTAGTGAAGCGAGACCAAAACAGTCTCATGCGAATATGTTTGCCATGAAAGCGGTCCATGTTAGACCAGATCCAAGATTAAGTGCTCAAGAATGTTGTTTAAAACTCAGTCTACTGCCGTTACGATTAAATATAGATCAGGATAGCCTATTGTTTTTGATAGAATTCTTCAATGAATTGGGTAATGGTACGAAACACGCTCAAGAGAACTGTAATGTACCTAATAATCCACAATCCTCTCCAGTATCCAAGCAAGGAACACCAACGCATCATCCACCAGTTATGAGTGTGAACGAGTCCACGCCTAATGCATCAATGCCAACGAATACATCGCAGAATGATACCATAGATCCGAATTTATTAATACTCTTGGAAGACGAATTGATGATTAAAGAAAATACTGTGAAAGCGAAATCGACGCATGAAGTACATGAAGATTGTCAACCAATATATTTTAGGTAAATTAATTATTTAAGTATAATATAAATAAACTTATAAATAATATTCAAATAATAAATATAAAGCAAAATATTCTATATATCGTAAATAATATATTCTATTAATATATCGTATATAAAAATTTAATTTATTTAATTTATTTAGGAGTGTGATATTTTCTCCTGAAGTCCTTGTTAGATTAGATTATCATGGAAAACGTGTAGATCTGACTCATGGGCCGTTAGCAGGACTTCTAATGGGTTTAGCGCAATTGAATTGCTCCGAATTAAGACTGAAAAGATTAACACATCGACATGGACTTCTAGGATTTGATAAACTAGTAACATTTTTACTTTCTGAATGGTTACAAGATATAAAGAAAAATCAACTTCCAAGTTTACTTGGTGGCGTAGGTCCTATGCATTCATTGGTTCAATTATGTAAGTTTATATTTTATTAAAATATATTGTTTTGTATATTATATTGTAAATGAAATGATTTGCTTGTTGTTACAGTTCAAGGAATAAGAGATTTATTCTGGTTACCTATTGAACAGTATCAAAAAGATGGTAGAATTATTAGAGGACTACAACGAGGTGCAAATAGTTTTACGACGTCTACTGCTATGGCAGCTTTGGAACTGACTTCTAGATTGATACATGCTATACAAAGTACAGCTGAAACAGCTTATGATATGGTCAGTCCTGGACCTAGTGTAAGGCATAAACACAAAGGACAAAAAGGACGTCGGAAAAGATATAGTCAACCATTGGACATTCGAGAAGGAATGGCTAATGCATATATGCTAGTAAAAGAAGTAAAGTATCGCATATATTTGAAACTATAAAAAATTTTACACATTTTATATTATCAAATTAATTATATATAATTAATTTCGAATGTGTTTTTCAGGGTTTAGGAGAAACAGCTAATCAATTGGTTCGTGTAGCCAGTGAAGAACATGAACAAAAAGGAGTCTCTGGTGCCGTAGGAGGTGTATTACGACAAATACCGCCAACAGTTGTGAAGCCAATTATTTTAGCTACAGAAGCGACTAGTAATGTTTTAGGTGGTATGCAATCACAATTAGTACCCGATGCCCGACGAGAAGCAGCTCAAAAATGGCGCCAAGATTCGACTGACACAAATTGAAGTTATTTCTTAAGTAATGGTATGGTTCGATGTTTCAATCGACTTTTGTATAACACAAATCCATGACGTAATTTATGATGATAATTTAAAAAAGATATACGGAAAAAGTTCTTTCTTCAAGTTAAAAGATTTATAATGAGCGAAAGAATTGATTCAATGATGAACATGAATGTTAAAAAATTTTTTAGATCTAATCGCATAAATTTTTTGAAAAGCTAAAAAAATCACTTTTAAATGATATAATATATTCGTGTAATTATATGTTTCAGTTCCATTGCTCTTGTTACATACGAAAAGATCGATCCAATTTGCTATATTTATAGTTTATAAATAAAATATATATACCATCGTGAACATTGTCTTCACAGCTTGTATGTATTTTTGTTTAAATAACGCGTATGTTTTATACCAATGATATGTATGTGACAACTTTTATTAATAAAATTATGACGCTTATTATTGCATGCCACTTTTTGTATAAAATGCAATTTATTGCTATAATATACATATTCTGAATATTTAAAGATTTAAATACGTTTAAGTTGAATATAAGCTTACCTATTGTCGATACATTGTTCATAACTGAAATGTCCATTGTTTACGGTCCTTTTTACAGATGTCATAATGAGGAATTCTTGTAAATATACGCCCTCTTGAATCACAGAGAAAAATTGTACAAAATGTGCAATAAGTTATATGGATTATATACGATTTTACTAATTTATCATATTATTCAATATAGATAATATGATAAAAAGGTTATGACTGATATGTTCATTATATTCTTACGCAATTTAACAGGTACGGAATATGCTGCCGCCTATCGAGCATTTTAGAAACTATCATATTTAAGAAACACCTTGTTTTCTTAAGTTACCATGACAATAAACAGTTTTCCTAGTAATTTAAATTGTGATATTCTTAGATACAAGTAAACACTTAACAAGTTAATGTTATTAACCTTATTTTTGTTGTAAATCAACTAAAAATGGAAGAAGATGAAAAGACTGCATTTGAAAGTTATGAAAGTATATCAACTATTACTTCTGTGGAAGAAGAAGAGTATAAATTAGAAGAAAAATTAACGAAAGATGATATTCTTAAAATAACGAAAGAACTTATAGAAAACGTACAACAAGAACTATGTTTGATCAAGTTATGCTGGCCAGAAATTGATTACACAAAAGATCTTTACCTAAGAAGACTTCCAAGTAGTTATTGTACCCTCAGTGATAAAGAAAAGTTGCTTGCATGGTATGCCGAAAATTTTCGACAACAATTTCACGTAAAATATCCAAAAAGAAAACCATTATTATTAGTATGTGAAAATGAATGTGGTATACAAGTAAGTATATTATAAAATTAAAAAATTAATAATATGATAGTAATAGAACTTTCCAATTCAAATCTAATGATATCTCCGATTCCATCCTTCTTGTCTCTAGTTAATTATATTAAAGATAATGTTTAATATTATAAATTATGCAATTGGATTAAAGTGTGGATCATGGTTTTTATGAAAATTTCAATTGTTTAAATAATTCTTTTTTTATTTATTATCCGCTTCGTTAAAATTAATAATTTTTTAAGTATTAAATTAAAGATTAATCGAGAGACTCGATTGTTATTTACGATTTATCGATTCTTTTCATCTACAATAAATTTTCAATATTAGCTTATTTATTCAAGACTCTTCCGCGCAATCGAACTAAAAAACGCAAAAATCATTCATTTTAATCATGACAAATTGATATTCGTCATTGGTGTAATTTTTGGTGCTACTCTCATAACATGATGATCTCAAGTTAACATGATGTTCTTTAACTTTTGGATATTTGAAGATGGCGAATAACAGCAATGTATAGGAAATTAGTTTACGTTTCTTATTAACGTTTCTCAAAATCAACGCATAATTGTAAATTCATAATAGCTTAAAAGATTCTCCAATATTTATATATAACATCATATATATTTACATTACACACTTTCTGCATATTACAACACGTGTTTCGTTATTATTTTCTTTTTTATCTAAATAATTAACTTTTATACAAACGAAACAACGGTCGTAAAAAATATAGTCGATACTAAAAAAGAAATGATCCGATTTCGCAATCCATCTGCAACGAAGTATTCTTCGAAACAGAATCAATATTCTTACATTTAGTATCTTTCAATGAAGAAAATATCATTTCTCGTTACTTGTGATTTTCTTTTCGATTTTCAAAAAAAAGAATAAATTAAGAAATTATGTGAATATCTTGATATTTTGTTTCCTTTTTCTAGTTTATTCTTTTAATAAATACTTCTCTCGATTTATTGTATAAAGACATTATTTTTCGTATAAAAATTAAAATATGTTATAAAAAAAATTATCAGTTATTCAAAATTTAAGTTCAAAGTATTTTATATGTAACGAGGAATGTCATTCTTGATAGACTAAGGTTCTCATTATCATTATTTTTTCTTATTCGTTTGTTCTTCATTTAATGCAACTATAATGGAAATATAACTGTATAATAGGAATCTTTCTAATATACTCGAAAAAATTTCCTTTTCTACAATCTAAATAATAAAAATAAACTTCGCTATACATTTATTCATACATGCTTCAAATGTTCTACAATATATGTTATGCACTTTGCGTGCAAGTACACGGTCACAGTCTTATTTACACGTACCATCATTTGACAGTACTTTCTTCACTTTGGTTTTTCTGTCAGTTTTTATAAATATACATTGCTAACTGCAAGATTATTTCCTTTCAGTGTACCTAACGTTTCGCGCGTTACGTGAACACGATAGGAACAATCATTATATGAAACGATATTTTCTCAGAAAAAAAAAAGAGAGAGAATAAGAAAACTTACAAATGCTTCGAAAATCTCGAAAAGGTTTTCAAATATATCTATAAAATTAATATGGCGAATCGACAGTAACGAATTTGTTTCACAACAATAGCACATGAAGAGAGAGAGAGAGAGAGAGAGAGAGAGAGAGAGAGAGAGAGAGAGAGAGAGAGAGAAAAGAAAAAAGAATAAATATATGAAAGACAAAAAAAAATCTCTTTCTTGGAACTAATCTTGCTATAACAAAGTAATGTTAAGAGTAAGAAAACAAAATCACGATAGGAAGTGTCTTTATAGTTTAAATCGCTTTTTGTGCAGAAATTTATGTCTACGACTATCAAACGAAGTACACTGCCATACCCGGAACTGTACACGTGGCAGGAGTGCGGAAAATTTGTCAGTGACTACGTTAAGTACGAGCCACTGAACAAACCACTCAAAATGGTAAGTAGTCAAACGTATTGTTGTCATCAAACATCTTATTTTATAAAGCTAAGCGACAAAGGTCCTTAAATATATATATACTTTATATATATATATATATATATATAATATATATAATTTCTCATCGATATAACAAATATCGTCTTGTCATTTTTTATCTCGAATTTATTTGTTTGGACCATTTAGTTTCGTGCGAGTAACGTGCACACATTATTTTAAATCTTATTATTATTTACCATAAGTAAATAATTCGCTAACAAAATGAGAGGTAGAACTGTTTGGGAAAAAGTGCAGTCCATAATTAAATATCATGAAGCTATTATTTTTTTCAAATATATCTGCGCGATAATTAGAATGTAGAACGCAAAATTAAAATGAATGGATTCTCGACCGTAGATAACGTAGATTCACGATTCTTGATTTTGATTATACATCCTTATCGATTGTATATGTCCAGGATAATGTAACAGGATAAAAAATTTTAAAACACAACATTGTCTATCGGTCGAGACTATATAATCTTTTTTTATTTTTATTTTTATCTGACCGCAAAGAAATTTCCCATCGCGCGCACACGCACGCACTTACACTAATAAATGATAAAGTATAATCGATAATAATACCTCTCTACGAACATCTTAACCTTTATTATAATTACAACAGTCCATTCAAGATTTTGGTATACACTTATATACAAGGTTTTAATAAAGAAAATGTAAAATCATTACGACCTATTTTGATTCGGTCTTAAGGTAACTCAAAAAAAGAATAAAAGAAAGAAAGAACGAACTCAATTCAAAAAAACACAAGGAGCGGGTTAAAACACATAATTGTGCATTGATTCATTTAAATTATAAGATATAATAAAGAATCCGGTGGGAAAAGGCGAACAACACATTTTTTTTTTCATTCGTATTTCTCTCGCACACATTCACACACACGCGCGAATCGTAAACACGAGGACATGAATCTCTGGATCGGCAAGAACGAAACAATAAGAAACAGAAATAAGTGAAAAAAAAAAAAAATCGTTTTGATGGAACACGAAGGAATTCGACGATAAGAGATCAACAAATTGTACATTGTGTACAATAGTATAAGGAGAGAAACAACAAGTCAACTTTTATTTTCTCTCCATCTTTATTTCATCATTTGTCTGTTTGTTTGTCTCTGTTCGATTCTACCTATTTTTTTCCACCTCATGAGTCGCGGTTAATACACTCTTCTTTCCTAAGAATATATATTTAGCATCACAGCTTGTCTCTTCTCTCCTCGCCTACTTTCTACTTTGTTTCAAGCTAGTCGACTTCTTCCTACACGCTTTCAAATTGTCCAATAGATACTTGAATTGTATGATTTGAAGCCTTGTGACTGCTGGTTCAGAACATTTATCTAACCATTTGAAAAACTTCTCGCCGTGCTCGATCGCTTCTTCTGTACTACTCGGCACGTCAGTTGACTCGATATCTTCCGCTGCAGTAGCGGATTCCTCGTCCATGGTTAAACTTCGTTTCACATTGTCGTTGTTATTATTGCAAAGCACGTTGTCAAGCATGGCTCTTGCTTTGCTCGGTGATTTCTTAGCGACCGGACTAGGCGCTAATGGCGTCGGTGTTATTAGTGGGAAGCTGCACTGCTTGTACCATTGCCAGAACCACGAACCATCCTGCTGATTGATGCTCGGATTGAAACTCGCCGATTGTTGACCGAGCAACTGTTGCTGCTGTGTCAGCCATAGCCATAACGCCTCGTCCACCTTCTTGTTGCCGCTATTCACATTGCTCTCCTTTTTAGGCTTGTTCGTTGATCTTTGAATACTGTTATTCTCGTTCGTTTTTCTAGGGGACGCGGGAACCGGAGTCGATGGCGCTTCCGCTGCAGGTGGTAAACTTTTTCGTGTGCTGCACGATTTTGCGACCACGGAATCCATTTGTGTTGGCGCGATCGCCGAAATACTATGCCTTTTGTTACTACTATTCAAACTGTTCAAGTTCGTAATACACGCGTTTCCAGTGTTCTTTGTATACTGAAGACCGTTCTCGACGAGACCGACGGTGCTGCCGTGTGATAAAGCCGGTGACATGCTCAACAAATTCTTGGCGAGCGTACCGGTGGCGCCGGACAACAGGCCCAGCTGTTGCAGAAGAAGTGAACTATTTTCGGGTCTCATGCCCGCCATACTGGTCATCAATCCTACATAATCGATCTTCGGCTTGTTGTCCTGTTTACCATCCGTATCGGTGCAAACATCACTACCGACAAACGACGTGCCCGCGCTATTTACCGACGTTTGTTGATCTATTTTTGATTTCTTCACGCATGGACCCTCATCCTCGCTTGACAGATTTGCCGATCCACCGGCCAAGTTACCAGCTGCAATATTCGCACCAGAAGACGAAGCAGGTGAATGGGCCTCACTATCCGGTGTTGACGAATTCCTTGCCATGCCCCTGATCTTGTGTTCGGATTTGCACCATCCACGCAATGTCGATTCTGGCACTCCGATATCTCGAGCGACCGATGCTTTGCTCTCTCCTTCGTGAACTCTCTGTATCGCATCCATCTTTTCAGAAGCGGAAAGCGCCCTTAAAGGACGCTTACCGGGACGCGCCGACTCGCCCCTCATTCCAGCGAGACGACTATCTTTCGCGCCTTCTCGCAAACGATCCTCGTAACCACCGTCCTCCGTCGTCGTGATGCCTTCGTCGATCACTTTAGGATCTATTTTGCTAACTTTGCGATCCCTACCACGCAATTTTTCGCGAACGTCTAACACCCGATTAGGGTCGTCCACGTAAATGCTCAGATTTGTCGTCCTTAGATCCAGGTTGAAAATTATTTTTTCACACCGTAAATCCTTTTATTAATTCTGCAAAAACACAGTGAAATTTTCGACGATTTGCCGAAATTTCACTCGGTCAATAGTCGTTCTTGATTTCCGTTCAATAATCGATAAATATTCAATGTTTTTCACGCGATGTTACTCGCACCACGAAAACACAGCGTTCGAATTCGTAGAATAATTTTCAGCGTATTTCGCGCGACTTCTCAGTCGCATTTCGTCCTCTTGAAAACACTCGATAAATCGTGCTAAGCGTGGCACATAAGAAGCCTCACGCTAACACACTCAATCAATTTTCACTGCGTTCTTATAATTCACTTTCTTTTCTTCACTTGAAGTGATCGATCAACAAGATCGATGAAAAGATCCAAGAAAATTTCAAATAATTCCTGAACTATATTTTAATAACGCTTGTTCTACAGATTGCAAAACAGCACACTGGCGCGCCTCGCGTTCAATTCCCAAGATTCACCGACAGAATATATCACCCAATAATAGTCGTATGAAAGACCGTGACACCGACGATCGTCACCTGACGGTGGATCGACCTCGACTGAACCGTCGCTGTATGTGCGCTGCGTCTATCGTCGCTGGCTACCTCGCGTATAACTGCTTTTAGGGGCGCGCGTCGCGTCGCGTCGCTCTTCGCCTGTCGACCGCCTATATGTGTAGTGATCGTTGTCGATCTACACAGTTCCACAGCTCACAGCTAACTGTTTCGATGTGTGCGCACGGTACACTACGTTACACACGAGAGCGCACGTGGACAAACGCACGTGGATTGTCGCGAGAAGCAGCAACGCACGATGCTCTCGCGACGAATCGTCACGCTCAACTGCGGTGGTGGTCGCCGCCGGCTTTCCGCGGACTCGCGACGCCGTCTTCTCTGCCCCCTCCCCTCTCTCCCCACTGCCCGGACTTCCCCTCACCGTACGGCACCGCGCCATTCGGCCCTTCCTCTCCGCCCGCCCCGCTCTTCCCGTGAAACTCCGCCGCAGCCCAGCTTGTGCCTCGCCTTGCCATGCTTTGCCATGCTGCGATGTGCGTCTTGCTTTATCCCCATCGTGCCTCTCGTCTTGCCTATACTCTTGGCTCTTCTACGCTACCTATCGTCCCTTCTCGATCCCCTTCCCCCTCTTCACTCCTCTACCCCTTGTTTCTCGTCCCATTGCCGCCCTTCCGCCTGCCCCTTCGCGTTCTCGTCCTCTTCTTCCTTTCGTCCCTCGGTATGTTCCTTCCATCGACGGTGTGCTGTCGAACCGCGCTTCTCTCGTTCTTTACCCCTCCGTGCCCTTATCCACTAAAACCCCTCTACAAGTCCACGACCCTTGCCGGTTCTCTCAACCATCGTCCCCATCGCCGTCGTCATCGTCGTCGTCGTCTTCGTCGTCGTCGTCGTCGTCGTCTAGCACGAGTAAAGTTCTTGGTCCTTACGAACACGCGATGCGATATAGATAGAATAACAATGAAAAAGAATAAAGATATATATATAGATCATTTTTCTATACTTTATATCTATTTTTTCTTTAACGCGTTGCATGATACTTTTAGTTCGCTTATATATACATATACATCTTGCGCACACGCGAACGATCGCCGTCTTCGAGACTCAACGTGTCCGAGTTTCCGGTCGGCCGACTGTTCGCAGCAGCAGCGAGGGAACGAGGCTTGGCGCAGTGAGGCGAGGTGAGGTAAAGCGAGGAGTGGCGAGAGGAGGCGAGGTGAGGCGAACGGTTGGCCGCTCGCTTGGTCGTCGTGAAATTTACGAGCGACGCGATTTTTTCGCCCGTGTCCCGAACGCCCGTTTAATTTCCCGCGATTCTAGGATCTCTCTCGTCTCTAAAATATAGAGGAACAGAGAGGAATGGAACAGGAAAAAGACAGAGAGAGAANGAGAGAGAGAGAGAGAGAGAGAGAGAGAGAGAGAGAGAGAGAGAGAGAGAGAGAGAGTGAACCGAACCTGTGGCAAAACCCTTAAATCCGACCTTCCCTCCTCTCCTGTACAACTCGGCCCCTAGGGAAGAGCCGGATTTATGAGCACGGCCTAAAATCCGTACGCGAACGACGGCAGAGTTACGGAGCTAGAGAGAGCCGCGAGTGTATAAGGAGGAACGCCGCGGTAATTCGCGGATAAATTTACCGTGCCTCCGGCGGCGTATTTACCGTGGTAAATACACGCTCGGACACACCGGCGCGGACCGGCACCTACGTCGATTTCTTTTTCGCGGCCG